TTAGTAGTTATGAATAATCATAGACTGAATCATTCAAACCACAATTAATCAATCTACCAGCCAGTCAACTAACCAACCAGCTTATCAATTTAGTAACTGACCAACCAACCAATTAATTTATTAATTATTCCACTAAGAAATCAATCAGCCAACCAACCGATTGACCGATCAACTGACCAACCAACCAACCAAGAGGCCAACTGAACAACCAACCGACCAGCCAGCCAACTGACTTTTTGCAACAGGAGTAGAATCAGACTGTCCCATAGCTTCATTATCATCTACTACATCCCTTCTTGTAGATTTTTCCTTTAATTTAAATTCATTTTAATTTAAAATTATTTCAATATTTGTAGGTATTTCTTCACTTAATTAATCATAATCTAATTTAATTAAAAGAAAAACTCAGCATATAATCATAATGATGATCATAATGACATGATTTCTTTTATTTACCACTTATTAAAATTATAATTTCATTAATTTTTGCCTCAGATCAGATCTGAAATAACTGATTGAAAATATTTAAAATTGTGAAAAAACTAAGCGCTTTATTTACTTAGAAGATTAATAAATATGAATTATAAAGTTTAATTATTAAATTATTAATTAATTAATATACAAATGTTACAAGTAAAAAAAAAGTTTTAAATAAAATTCTGAACTATTTTCAATAATCTTATGTTTCACTAATCACAGAAATTAGTAAATCAGTGTACTGCACCTTTGGGGAGGCCACCTTCCGGCCGGGAGCAAAATTTTTTCGTTTGTTGGCGGTATTCCTACTATGGGGCGTCCGAACCATGATCGAACTGTAGAGAAAAAAGTTTTCTGAATTAAGTGTATTATTTTCGAAATTCAGGTTTTTGATTAAAAATTTAATCTTTTGAAATAAAAAAGATGTCAATTAATTGTTAAATAAAAATAATTAAATACTTTTGAGTTTGAGTTTCACTTTAAATTTTTTCGTATTTGCCACCAAAAGTTAACTATGGTAAAGTATGTAATTCGGAAATTTAAAAAATAAAATTTTTTTAAAAAACAATTTTATATATTTATTTAAAAAAAACAATTTAAATTTAATAAAAATATAATTTTTATTTTATTTTTTAATTAAATTTAAAAGTAATAAAAGTAGTTCATTTTTAACTTGTATGAAAATTTAAAAGCTAATTCAAGTCATCAAAACAAAATTGGGAAACAAGAATCTGACAAATGGCGAATTAGAGAATTATTTTATTTTTAGACAAATTATAAAACTAATATTAATATTTTAATGGAAAAACATCAAAAATGAGAATTTCATCTATAAAAAATTTTTAATTTCCTATTTTTATTTTTAATTATTTAATAATTAATTTTTATTAAATTAAAAAATTTTATCAAATTTATCAAGTTTATTAATAAATTTTAATTAATCATTAATTTATTATTTTAAATTTTATTAATGATAACAAATAAAAATGACATAGCTTATCTTCCAGAAGTTCCAACTAACTAAATTATTAAACTAATTTTTTAAAAATTCATCTTTGATCTTTTTCTTGCTTCTTTTGCTGTTGTAAATATTTTTTAAACTATTTGTAAGTAAATTAGTAAACTCAAATTGTAAGAAAAATGTAAAAGTATTGTATACAAATGAGTAATTTTGTTGCGACTTTGTTTTAAAAATTAACAATTGTTAAAAAATTCAATATGGTGTTGTTATGGGTTAGTTAGGGTTAGGCTAAAAAAGTTACTAACAACTAATTCACTAATTCAGAATAAATATATTATATATATAATACACAAAATATGGGAATTTAAATTAGTTTACTTTCTTTAAAACTATTTAATTAACTGATTAGGAAAAATGACTATCTAATTCCACAACAAAAACTAATTATATTAAGAATTAATTAATCACTTAATTAATTAATTATAATGGCCAATCAGCAACAATTATTGTTGACCCAAAATTTCCCAATTCCAAATGTTCCACTCGAGCAGCACCCTAACCCCAACCCTGGCCATCATCATCAAAGGGTTGAATCAGCCAATAGTAATGGTGCTAACATTCCAAAAAATCATCAGATATCTTTTGAAAGCCACAACAACAACAACAACAATAATAACAATATTAACATTATTAATATCAACAACAATGATAATGATGTCGGTCCGTATGATCCTAAAACTGAATTCCCGAATTATGTATACAGTTGCTACCCATTTGTCGTTCCAAACAACAACACACAACAACAACAACAACAATTTTTTGCAACAACAACATCTTTTCTCAACAGCAACACCAATCCAGCCAGCATTTCCGCAGCAACAACAACTGCAGCCTCAGTTACTACTGCCACAGCAACCTACGCAAATTTTTCAACAGTTTCAGTCGCCATTTTTGTTGCCACCGCAACAACAACAACATCAACTGTTGCAACAACAACAACAACAACAACAACAGCTGCCACTAGAACAACAACTGCTACTGTTACCTCAACAGCAACAACAACAATTATTATTACATCATCAACAACATCATCAACAACAGCAACATCAATGCTCTTGCATATCACTACCCATCATACAGTTGCCTACATATACATCAACAACAACGACACAACAACAACAACAACAGCATATGCAGATGGTTTATTTGCAACAACAACAATTGTTACATCAACAGCAACATCAACAACAACAATCATATTTTGATCCCAACAACAACAACAGTTTAAGAACTCATCAATTTATTCAATTGCATAATCAAAAACAACAACAACAGCCTTATATTTATGACGGTAATTATTGCCTGGAACAACATCAACAACATCAACAACAACATCAACAACTTAACAATGAAATAAAAAAAGTCAAGATATACAAAGACGTTTCTCTTCAAACCGGTAATGACGATGATTGCGATGATGACGATGATAATGATGATGAGAACGATGATGATAATGATGATGAGAACGATGATGATAATGATGATGAGAACGATGATGATAATGATGATGAGAACGATGATGATAATGATGATGAGGACGATGATGATAATGATGACCAAAAATAGTAATGTCATTGTTTATTTATTTCAATACAGACTTCAATCAAAAAATATCTTGTAAAACTTTACTGCAATTTCCAAGTACATTTTTCGGCAACAACAACATCAACAACAACATCAACAACAACAACTACTACTACAATAACAACAATGGCTATAAGAACAGCAGCATCAACAACAAATCAACAGATACACTGGACAGTTCTCCAGAACAACAACAACAACAACAACAATCTATACTAAATCCTCCTGCAAATGTTCAAATCATTCAACAACAACATCAGCAGCAACATCAACAACAACATTTTATATACCCATATCTTCAACAGCATCTGCAACAACAACAACAACAACACATCAACAACAACAACGTTAACAATTATTCCAGTATATATAACATTAACCCTAAGGTAAATCATCCACTTCTAAACAACAACAACAACGCCAACAACAACAACAACAACAACAACATAAGCCACTACTACAACAACAACAACATTAGCAACAGTGTCATTACTGATAGAAAGAGGAGACAAAATAAAAATGACAAAACATCAAGTTTGTTGAAAAGTGAATTTAGTGCCGCTACTACTACTACTACTACTACTACTACTACTACTACTACTTCTACTACAACTACTAAAAAAAATAATAAGGATAATAATAATAATAACAATTTAGACAAATGTTTTGAAGTTGAAAAAGAATTCAACAAAATTTTAAACGTGGCCAAAGTTTTGATCGACAATAATCAACAACAGAACGACGAAAACAACAACAACAACATCA